GGCCCTTGAAAAGAAGGTAATTTGGAGTAGGTAGCCTCCATGTTGATTAAGAAGGGGACAGACTTACCTTCTACCGTAAGAGTTACCTAAAGAGTCTGTGATGGTCCAGGAAGCTTCTGAGGCATTTGGGCAGAGTCAGTCTTCAGCTGCTAAGCCTAGAAGATCTGGGAAGGAGTCAGTCAGAGCCTTGGGCAAGTTGGACAGTCTAATTTCCAGTGGGGTCCCGCACAGATGGGACATGGCTTAGGAGGAATCCTGGGCTCTGGGCATTCCTTGACCTAGTGACCAGATTTCCGGCACTTGAAGTAAGATCCTAGGGAAGGAGGTCCTGAAGGAAAACCTGACCACTGTGGCTTAGGTGTGTTGAAGTTCTTGTGTGCTGGAGATGTCCTGGCATTTCTCTCACAATGGAGGCAAGGAATTGCAACTCAGAAATATGTTGCTACCTGGCTGCCTCTACTCTATTATTGTACACCTTGAAGGCGGGGTTAATTAAGTCCTGTTGTGGGGCTCAAGGGCCGAAATCTAATTTTTGGAGCTTTTTTCTAGTGTCAGGAGCTGACTGGGTGATAAAATACATATTGAGGATTAGATGGCCTTCTGGCCTCTCTGGGTCTAGGGCGGTAAAGCGTCTAAGTGTTGTTGTCAAATGGGCCATGAACTGGGTTGAGTTTTTATATTTGATGAAAAAGAGCCTAAACGCTAACTGATTTGGCAGAGGTCTGATAAAGAAAAAGGCGCATTAACCTTGGCTATGCCTTCAGCTCCAGCCACCTCTTTAAGAGGAAATTGCTGGCCAGGTGAGTTTTTATATTTGACGAAAAAGAGCCTAAACACTAACTGATTTGGGAGAGGTCGAATAAAGAAAAAAGGAGCATTAACCTTGACTATGCCTTTAGCTCCAGACACCTTTTTAAGAGGAAATTGCTGGGCAGGTGGGGGAGGGCTAGTCGCGGAGGGAAACTGTAAGCCGGACAGAGGGGGTGTGAGGAGGGAAGGTGATAAAAAGATTATAGGGTCGGGGGGCGGAGGCTGAGGAAGAATTGGGACCTGCCTTGGCCTGGCGAGGAGCAGCCTGAGGAGGAGGGTAGAGGTCAGATGGGTTTGTAGAAAAGGAAGATTGGAAAGTCTCCGCGACGCTTGGGATTGGGACTGAGGGGACAGGCGGGAGGGAAAGAAGGATTTGGGAGGAATCGCATTGGGAACAGAGACTAGGGAGGGAACGAAGTGTGGGAAATGCCTGAATGTAAGGCACCTCAGACCAGTTGCCCATTTTTTGACAAAAATTATCTAGGTCTTGTAGGATGGAGAAATCGAAAGTGCCATTTTCCGGCCATTTAGAGCCATTGTCAAGTTTGTATTGGGGCCAAGCGGTGTTGCAGAAGAAAAAATGGCATTTAGGTTTTAGGTCAGGTGAGAGTTGAAGAGGTTTTAAGTTTTTGAGAACACAGGCTAAGGGAGAAGAGGGAGGAATGGAGGGTAGAGGGTTGCCCATAGTGAAGGAGGCAAGCCCAGAGAAAAGAGAGAGTAGAGACACAGAGAGAAGGGGTGGGAGGTGCTTGCCCCGCAGAGAAGTGGTGCTTGCTGCTAAGGGTGAAAGACCAAGGCAGGTGTCCCCACATGATCAGACACCTCTGAAATGTGGGTGAATAATGAAGCAGGCGTCCCTTGATTAACACCAAAGAAAGACTGTCTTCCCGAGCCCATGACTGGCGCTGGAGTTTTGAGTTCACCGATAAAACGCTACTCCTCTGTCTCTACCAGAAAAGGAAAGGAATTGAAATGTAGAGAAGGGAGAGATTGAAGGATGGTACCAGGATTGAAAGGAGAAAGAGGTTGAGAGATAGTGAGAGAGGTTGGAGAAGAGAGTAAAGAGGCCGCTTACCTGGTTTTAAATTGGTGAGACGTTCCTTGGGCTGGTTGGTCTGAGGACCAGAGATCTTAGGAGGATCTTTCTTATGGAGCAAACAGCAAGAGGACAGGGGCTTGATCTCTCAAGGGAGGTCCCCCAATCCGAGTCATGGCACCAAATTTCGCTTGCGTCCATGTGAAGAGACCACCAACAGGCTTTGTGTGAGCAATAAACCTCTTTAATCACCTGGGTGCAGGCGGGCTGAGTCCGAAAACAGTCAGCGAAGGGAGATAGGGGTGGGACCGTTTTATAAGATTTGGGTGGGTAGTGGAAAATTACAGTCAAAGGGGGTTTTTCTCTGGTAGGCAGGGGCAGGGGGTGCTCAGTGGGGGAGCTTTTGAGCCAGGATGAGCCAGGAGAAGGGGTTTCACAAGGGAGTGTCATCAGTTAAGGCAGGGACTGGTCATTTTCACTTCTTTTGTGATTCTTCAGTTACTTCAGGACTTCCAGATGTATACATGCAGGTCACAGGGGATGTGATGGCTTAGCCTGGGCTCAGAGGCCTGACAACAGTTATAGTAGCAATTTAAAGATAAATGGCAGAGGAGAAGATTTTAATTTCAAACTAGTATTTTAAGTTTGATTTCAGTCCTGGGAAAAAAATAGCAAAAATCTTTTTTGAAGGAAGAACTGTTATATGACTTTAAGATAAAAATGTTAGCCAAGGTATTCAGTAGAATAGTTCTGCTAGCATACATCATGTCAAACAAAATTGTCTTTAAGCATTTACTGATTATGCTTTTGTGGATTACTGAAAGGCTTAACCTCTAAATAAATAAAATAGATTGTTAGTACATAAATGTGTGTTCAGGAAAAGCAATGCCCTCCATTCCTGTTATACTATTATCTGCAAGTAGGCTATCATTTGTGTGGATTGCTCCTGGTGAGCTGGGCTGCTGTACTGCTGTACTCAAAAATCTCCTAGTAATACACACACACACACACACACACACACACACACACACACACGGAGGCATATACACACTCTCCGTTTTTTCTTATTGTTATTTTATATCTATCTCTTACAGGATGAGAGGAGTTAGTAAATGTTTGGTAAAGCCAAGCAGGTCTCCATTAAATGGAGTCATCTAAGTCTGTTTTCTACTTCTCCTTCACTTTTATGCCTTTATGAGGAAATTACAAATTGTTTTATTTTCTGACTACTTTGAATTAAACATGTTGCTAGTATGTAAATAATACTGATTTGGATTTAAAAGTGCACTGAAAATAGATTTTCTGTCCATTCACACATCTATTTATACCCCTACCTATGTCTATGAAGTTATCCATTTATAAATGTAATATTTGCACCACAGAAGAAACGCTTTATTTCTTTATTTACTTATTTATTTATTATAGCTCTGTGATGCCTATGTGAATAATAGTAATTCTGCCCATCTCTGGCGGGAGTAGGGGATTGTTCAGCAAAGCTAGACTGAAAACACAGTGATGTCCTACATTTCTGATTCAATTCTCACAATGTACCTTTTTAAATTTGTTTGAAATATTGCTATTTTAGAGTATTTAGATATTACATTGTAGACAAATTTGACAGAACTCCAGAGCTGGTAGAGGCCCCTTCAGCAGAAAGATGAGCAAATGGAAAGATAAAAATCACATACCTGAACTGACTCGGATGAAAACTAGGATTGGGTGTCTGGAGTCTCAATCCATTGATTTCTAGATCTATAGTATATAAATAATACAATATTCACCTGTAATATTGCATTGCTAAGAGGTTAACAGTTAAAAGAAGATAAAGATTATGCAAGAAAATGTCATCATTATTTGAAAAGCTATATGATATTACTAATTAAGGCAACATTTATTTGCCTTAATATAAAATCATAAACTTAAGTGCTTATTCTTGCTAATATAAAAGTGAACATGAAATACAGAGCCCCCAAACATGCCCGTTCATGGACTTGATTTAGTAAGTCTGAGTTTAGACAGATATCACAAGTTCTCAGATATAGTGATGTAAATAGATACAGATCAATTTAAATAAAACTTTGTGGATAATACAAATTACAAAAAGTATTCCATTGTAATTTTTAAGCTTAAAGGTTTGTGAATCTATTTTTCTACTAAGAATAAAGAAAACCTTTCTAGGATATCTGAAATGAAAATTGAAATTAAACATACTCCTTTCTGAACTGTGGTTTAATTCTATTCCAGAAGTCAACTTGAATATAAAAGAAGGTGAGAACGCAGGATTCTCAAATAATGACTAGATATTTAAATGATATTTTTGTCAAAGGACTTGATTAATAAAACTGAATTAATGTGAGGGCTTTTATGATTAAAAGGATATAGACTGATTAAAAAAGAAGGGGAATACAATTATTTGGTTTAAAGCCAAGCTATGCGATATTGCTAATTAAGCTGAGGGAAAGATTTCTTTTTCAAGGAGATTATTATTGACCTTAAAACAAAACAGAGAAGTTAGGTATAATACAAAGGAAATGCCTGGGAAAAAAATTAAAAAGAAATACTAATATCTGAGCCCCATCCTCAGAGATTCTGATTTAATCGGTCTGGGAAAGGGTCAAAGCATAAGAGATTTCTAGAACATCATAGTTGTTTCTAAAGTCAAGTTTAAGAACCACTGGTAGGAAAAATTAAGAACATAAGGGAGGTCATATACCGTCACCCATTTTATGCTTTCATGGCTGTACTTCAATGCTGTTGCCTAATTCTCAGCAGAAAGCAAAATTAGAGAATTAAAGATGGAAGGTAAACTTAGTGGGATCATTAATTGAGAGAGTTTAGGGTTCCCCAGAGGAAGAAGAACAGTAAGCATTAATTTAAAAAATTAATGAATGTGCACATTCTGATAAAAATATTTCTAGTTTTAATTCCTGACAACAAGAAGTAACCTGTTGTAGACTAGACAGGTTATGACTCACCTGTTTTTAATTTATCATATAATTTATGTTACTAAATGTCAGTGAAATATAAAATCCAATATAAATTACTTAACACAATGAAAAATGATTCTGGAGAAATTATAGTTCATTAATACTGTGGAGTTATTGTCAATGTGTACTCAACTATACCCTATATTATTATTCTGACATGAAGTTAGTTTCTGTTTCTTAGAAGGGTCCGTACTGAACAAGACAGGATTTTGAATAATGAAGGCATGACTATCATTAGTAATGTAAGTATTTGAGAATGATCTAAATATGTCTAATTTTATAACTAACATTCAAAATAAAAGCTTATCAATTCTATTTATATTTAGAACAGAATTCATATATTTTTTAAGATAAACATTTCCTGGAGAGCTGCCAGAATGTTTTAAACTTTTTTTTTTTTTTTTTTTAGTGATGATTAAAAACCCAAATGAGTTCTTTAATAAAAATCTTTGGCAAGAAAACCCAATTTTCTCTATGAATCTATATTTTTCGGGTCAGAGGGATTGGTGATGTGCTTTACTAAGTAGAGATTAACTAGGCTAGTTCAAGTTTGTTATAAGGGCTGGTAGTTAGAGTAAATGGAGACATTACCCTATGCTAGAAGCATAATTATTTTGCAAGATATTTTAAAAAGTCCTGTAAATTTTCATTGTGGATTATGTGAGATCTGCAATCGGGTAAATAAATATGTGGAAGTGAAGGAGACTTTTTATGTGGGAGTGTTGTATTCTTGGGCCTATCCTGTTTGATCTTTTCATCAATGATCTGGGTATAGACAGAGTGAGCCACAATCTTTAATTCAAAAAATATTTATCAAACACTGCCTATGTCTGTATTAGCCCATTCTCACACTGCTATAAAGAATTACCTGAGACTGGGTAATTTATAAAGGAATGATGAGGAACTGACTCACAGTTCCACATGGCTAAGGAGGCCTCAGGAACATACAATTATGGCAGAAGGTGAAGGGAATCAAGGGCCTTCTTAACATGGCTGTAGGAGAGAGAATTGCAAGCAGGGGAAATGCCAGATGCTTACAAAACCATCAGATCTCGTAAAAACTCATGCACTATCACGAGAACTGCATGGGAAAAATTGCCCCCATGGTCCAATCACCTCCCACCAGGTCTCTCCCTCAACACCTGGAGATTATAATTCAAGATGAGATTTGAGTGGTGACACATGGCACAAAGCCTAACCATATCAATGTCCTATGGGATATGTGGAGAAACCAGGGAGGAATTGTCAATATAATTAAATTAGGATTCAAAATGATATTATCACTTGAAACTCTACATCAAAAATAGGAAAAATTTTAGTCTTAATTAAAAAAATGTATTTTTGGAAACAGGAGAGTAGACATCTGGCTTGGTTATTTGTTCATGGGAATAATATGTAGAATTTTGCTCAATTAAGACATCAAGGCAAGTGAAAAGCATGAAGGAGAGGCTTAATCAGCTAACGCAAAAATAGGCTGCCTTAAAGAAATAATAGCACCTGTAATGATTAGAATACAGTGGAAATATTGGCTCAATTCTGGGTGACTTCCTTAAAGCAGATCCTTAAAGATTTTTGGGTGCTTACAGATAGTGTTAAATTAATGGGTCAATAATTAATGTATAAACATATTTAAAATTATGACCCCAACAGGCCAAAAAAAATTAAAATGCTAACTTGGGAGATATGGGAGGAGAAAGGGAGAAAAGGAGTATAAGTAATTTTTCTTCTTCTTTCTGAGTCACTAGATATAGTTATATATAAAGTATATACACTACACACACATATATACACACACATGTGTGCACAATTATATTATTTAGTGTTACGGAAAAAATCATAACCCAGAAAGAATTAAAGAGTAAAATAAGGCCATCTCTAAGGATTGGGACTGGAGTAGAATATATGAGTTGAGATAAAAGCCTTCTGGCGCTATTTGACTTTATACAATGGACACATCTTACTATGGTTTTTAAAAGTAAACAAGGTCTGGATGACGACCCTCCCCTAGAGAGAAAGCGGAAACAAAGTCATTGAGAGAATCAAGTGGCCATCATGGTAATACATGAGCACCATGGTAGGTGGTAGTGAGATCTGAAAACTGATATTGAAATGGTTAAAGGAATTGGGATCATTTAACCTGGAGAAAAGGGGTAGGAGGAAGCTTATGCAGGTGTGAGAAGAGGGTAAGGTAGAATGAAAAGGTAAAAGAAGATGTCTTTGGATGAACATATTTAATAATTACTGTAAGGATTCCTATCTTGTAGATTCCTAGGACCTGTTGGTATATTTGTGAGGTGTGTCTATGTACCCAAATAAATTATATGTAAAATTTTATGTATATATGAGTATATGCATTTGATGAGTTGGGATAGAACTATCATTTTCAATAGATTTTTTTCCCCCAAAGGGATATATGATTTAAAATAGGTTAAAAACTATAAGGTTGCTTGCCTTATGGGGTAATAAGGACTCATCTAAACAGAAACTATCTTCTGTAGATAATTTAGAAATATTTTTCAGGTTGGATAGACTAGTTTATTTGAAATAACATTTTCTGCTTTTTAGGTTCCAATATTTACACAATGAAAAAATAAAATAGACATAATAAGGAACATTCACTGAACACATTACAGGCTTGTCATCATGTTAAGTGCTTGATACAGACTTTCATTTAATTCTCATAGCATTAGGTGAGGTAGAAACTACATTAAAAACTCAGATGAAAAAAAAATTACTGGACATCCCCCTGTTAGTAAGGAATAGAACTGAGATTAGAACCCAGGAAATCTGACCCTAGGTTACAAAGATATGGTTAAAATAAAAGCCCTGTGATGCTTCTAGATTTTGTACAACAGACATATTCTACATGTTTTTTAAAAGTAAACAAGGTCTTGATGACTTGCTTGATATCCCCTTTTGGAGAGGTTTTTTTACTGCCTCAATAGCCTCTCTTAATTCTGTACCACTACTGATAGCACCAACACTTGCACCACAAAGCTATCTTTCTGTTTTCCTCCTGGAACACTTAGTGAGACTCACCTTCTTTGGAATGAAGGGAGCCATGAGAAAACAGAAGAAAAGGAAAAACAACTTTTTAATGTCTGTTGAATCTAAAGCAACCTATTTCTTGAGCAAGGATTCAGTGTTTGCCTTCTACTAGCCATTGGTAAATGCATGTCATTTATGTGTCTTGAAGGTGTTTGAACAAGAATTTAATATCTATGGTTATATGAACTTGACCTCATTTAATGCCACTTCTTTTATTTTACCAAAAATACATATATACATATATACACACACACACATATATATGCGTATATAGCTATATGCACATATATAGATACATATATCTACACACACATATATACATATATATGTATACACACGTATATATATAGACAGAGAGAGAGGGAGAGAGAACTGTATTAGTTTTCTATTGCTAGTATAACACATGAGCAAAAACTTAGTAGCTTGAAACAGCACAAACTTGTTTTGTGTTCTGTAGGTTAGAATTTGACATGAGTCTCATCCTTTCTGGTGGCTCTGGGGGAGAAACCATTCCTTTGTCTTTTCAAGCTTCCTTGGATCATGGCCCTCTTCAAAGCCAGCAAGACTAGGAAGAGTCCTCATATTGCACCACTCTAATCATTTTTCTGCCTCCCTCTTTCACATTTAAAGACCTTTGTGATTGGACTCACCCAAATAATCCAGGACAATCTCACCATCTCAAAGTCCTTAATTTAGTCATATCTGCAGAATCTCTTTTGCCACCTAAGATAACATATTCACAGGTTCTAGCAATTAGGATACGGACATCTTTGGGGGACTATTATTCTGCCCACCACAAACACATACTAAATGCCAAGCCTTATACCAAGGACTGAAAGAGAACCCAGTCCCTTTCCTGGAGGAGCTTACAATTTAGGAGATATTTAAACAGGTGACTGAAATACAAAATAATAGGTGCTATGACAGAATTGAGAACCAGTTATCACACTGTGGAGGAAACAACTGTCTGCCTGGTATTGAGGGTGAGATGGAAAAAAAATGGCTGCAAAATTAGAATTATCTTTGATATATTGAAATGATTTTATCACTTTTCATCCAGGTTTTGAGACTCTGGGATATTCAACACCAGCTGTCCATCCAGAGGATAGCTTGTTCTTTCCCCGAAAGTCAGGACTTCAGATGTCTCTTCCACTTTGATGAAGCTCATGGACGACTTTTCATCTCATTTAATAACCGGCTAGCATTGTTGGCAATGAAAAGTGATGCCAGCAAGAGGGTGAAAAGCCATGAGAAAGCAGTCACTTGTGTTCTTTACAATTCTATCCTGAAGCAGGTAATGATGCTTTCTTTTCTTTCACTCTCCTAATATATCTCCAAGTCCAGAGGCTCATTTACTTCATTCGGTTTAAGGTAAAATGGAAGACAAATATAGTAAAGGCAAATATGGGAAGAAATGATTTAATAGCCATATGCTTTTCTGCAATAATATATATTCAGGTGGACTTGGAGAATGATTTCATTTTCAGCCAGTGACCCCAGGAGCAGTGATAGAGTTATAAGGAATTACAGCATTCCGGCTAAAACAAAACAACCTGTAAGATAATCGAACTTATCTTTGTTATCTGCTAGTCTTGAGCCGAATGCAAGTGACCCTGCTTGTAAAATTCCCTTTTATGAATACCATCTTCCTGTATCCCTGTGGAAAGTTCTGAAATATGCATGAAACATAATTAGCAGAGATCCATTTTGCCAGCATATTTTACACCAGTGGTTCACAGTGGCAGCCTGGAATGTATTCATAATAAAATGATTCAGTTAAATGTGATGCCACTTGGTATGCAGCACGAGTGTTGTTTGTCTCCCCACCACTTTAATGACGCTTCGCAGCCTTGGCTTAGGGGACCATTACCTGCATCTCAATGAAGAAGCAGGGCTCCACTGGAGCAGAGTTGCTGCACAGACCACAGCCCTTCTTGGAGGAGAGGGCGGCCCAGCCAGTGAAGCCAGTGAGCTCAGTGTGGGGCAGCCTGTGGGTGCCATGGAGGGAGCAAGCAGCATCAGAGGTTAGCCTGCTGCAGCGATTCCCTCAGGCCTGATGGTAACAGCACAGCAGGAGCCAAACAGAAGCAAGTCTCCAGCTTGCAGCCAATTAAACAGTAACTCAATCCATTCTTTCTTTTCCCTTCTGCAGAAGTTTCTGCATTCACACAGAAATGACTAGTGGAGATTTTGTGCAAGGGGTGGAAAGCCCTTTGTTAGTAATGAGTAGTGTGTCATGTCACTATTTAAAACACTGTTTTCTGGTTATTCTAGGAAATAAAATCACTTAGAAAACAACTCATTTTGAATTCCATCTGTGGGAAAACATTTCCTGCTAAATGTTTTACTGAACTTTATGAAGGCAACCAGTTAATTTGACTCCCTGGTGGCCACTGAAAGATGGATTTGTTTCCAAGAGAACATTCTCCTAATTGAGATCTGCAAAGTTAAATGCTAAATTTGTGTGTAGATGTTAAAATCCTATGTTGCCTGGCCGTAAGATGAGCAATATTCCCTGAGAAATTCAGGAAATTAGACACAAAGAAGATCTGGATTTATTTGGGGCACAAAGACAAAGCCAAGGTAACTCACATACATGCAACTTATAGACAACCAAAGAACAATGTACATATCGTATATGATATAGGAAGTATCACTATATGATTGAGTTGAGTATTCACACCTCTACTTGCTGTGAATAACATAAATAATGATAAGTATTTATATGTATGTAAAGCACATAGAGCTGTGTATCACATACCTTAGCATTTCCTATTAGCTGCTAAGCTATAGAAACATGAACACTGTATGTGTTATATTTATAATTATAAAAATGTATTGCAGAAAAGTGCTAAGAAAATATCACTCACATTCCCATCAACCAGTGATAACTTATCATTTTAGAGTAATTAGACAAAGCAAATAACACAGTTTTGAACAAGTGTCAGTTGCCAAGGATGAAGAATTAGAGATTAATAAACTAGTTTACTCCCCCAGTAGCTCAGGAAGATTCTGCTCTTTAAGGGAAGATCTGGGTCCTACCTGTAGTGCTGATAATTACTGGACAGGTGCTCCTTACAGGACTGTGGAATGAAGGAAGGGAAGGGAGACATATTACTAACAAGGAAACAGTAGAACACAGTAAAATGAAGTAGAGGTAAAACCGAAGTGCCCTTTATGGAGAGCGATCAGTTCTGCCTGGGGCCAGTGTTGGTCACATTTCAGCAGAACCCTGAAAGCTAAAATCTCTAAAAGGAGGAGGAGGTAGTTCTAGACCGAAGATACAACGTGAGCACCTGCAAAGCAGCTTGAGCACTCACAGTGCATTTTTGGAGAGAGGGTTTATTTTGGGGTGGCAAGTTTGGGAATACTTCGCAGACATTGTGGGAGTTAAAGCAGTAGAGGGATCTTAGGAGCATATTGATGGCCATTCGTTGAATGCATCACTGTCTGGTCTTGGAAAAGTAAAGCATAGAATTGAGATTAAAACAACATTTTTCACAGTGTGATCTTGGACCTCTGGGAGACTCAGATTCTCTCAGGGAATCTGGGAGGTCAACACTATTTTCATCATAATATTAATTTATTGTTTTCTTTCTAAACTTTCATTCTCTCAAAAGTGTACAGTGGAGTTTTCTAGAGGCTGCATGATGTGTGTTGTGTGATAACAGCATTGTTCTTATGACTAAGGGAATGTGTGCTGTTATATTTTTGTGCATTACTGTCTCCCTATAAATGTCTGATATGGTAAACATATATAAAAATACAGATCGATCTATCTGTGTTATATATGTGTACGTGTGTGTGGGTGTGAGTGTGTGTGTGTGTGTGTGTATTTCACATACAGCTATTTGGATTCTTCAATACTTTTTAAGAATGCAAAGGAATCCCAAGACCAAAAGTTTTCAGAACTGCTGGGTTGGAAATATGTGGGTTCAAATTCTGAACAGACTGCTTAGCCTGTCTGAGCTTTAGTTTGCCAGCTTCTTAAAATGTGTGTGTCTGTGGGGGTGTAGGAATAGTAATGGGAATAACATGTGCCTCCCTGGCATTGCCTTGTTAGGACTGAAATCTTGGAAGTGTCCTCTTGTCTCTCATGCTGCCAGCCCTGAAAGGTTCTTTCAGGTCCCCCATACCACATAGGGCGAATGTCGCTGCATTATGACATCTCCTTTTCTTATTAACTTCTTGAGATTCTTTAATCTTTATGTTAACACCGTGGCATGTGCTAACAAATGTTAGGAAGAATTAGAAGGGTGAGGACACCCTGAACTGCAGTTTGTCCCTACCCCTGCTTCTCCTCAGGAATGCCCCTTGAGGTGGAAAAGTTGTTTATCCTCCTCCTTCTCTTCTTCACCATTGCAGTTTCGTCTTGTAAACGTTTAGTTGCAAGCCTCAGCTTTGGTCCTTAGCTCCCTGAAGTCTCCAGAGCCATCTCAACCCACACTTACTTCTCCTCTTCCTGAGCATTGGCCACATTTATTAGTTGTTTTCCCAGTTAAACACTTAACTAAACTTATTTCTCTCTCTTCCTATGTTTTTGGTGTGAGGGGAAGAGCCTTTACTTCCATTTGTGTGTTTTCTCACAGCTCCAACACTGTTCTGATCACAAAATGAATGCTCAACTACTAGACTTGATAAATTATTGCCATTTTTCATGTCAAGCGTAACAGGAAGTCATGCTTTTTCAGTCCATGGTCTCTTGATCTTTGGTTATTTGGTTTGGTGTCTTTCTTGAACATTTTCCCTTTGCTTGAATTTAATGAAAATCTTCCCTTCTGTTGTCATTTCAACATGTTGCCTACACTTTATTATTTCTTTGTATTTGAACTTCAGTGGGGACCCAATATAATTCCTATATAAAAGCAGCTTGGGACATTTCCGTGACTTTTATTTATCTTCCTGTCTTTTGAGGTCCTTGTATCCTAGTCTAGGAAAGTGGTGTTAAGCCATGCAAAGCCTTTTAAAAGAAATCATATACTTTATTTCACCTGGCAAAGTTTTTTCTCACAGCCAGCAGCACAACAAGTTGGGACTGGATGAAGGATTCCTCTGGAATGTACAATTTGGAAAGAATTAAAGCAATCCTATATCCTGGAAGCAGATCTAATGAACCATCTCTGCACTCAGTTCTTATGAAGCTTTTTACAAGAAAACAAAAGAAAACAAAAAAACACTCATGAATTTGGAACATTTTAAAACATGTATTTCTAGATATATAAACTAGAATAGATGAAATATTTATGTTATCAAAATGAGTCTCATCCTAATGATGTAGGTTTATGTATTTTTGTAAAATAGATAATGTTTCAGTTTGTTGGGAACCTTGAACACATTTATAATCAAGCTAGACATTTAGGTGTCATCAAATTTTAATAGACTAAATGGTATTTACAATTTTTCTTATCAAAATAACTTTTTTTTTTAGTAACTGCTGCAAAATGTTACATGATTATTGTAAGAAATTAAAGCAATGCAGTAAAACTCAAATACAAAACTATTGCTGATATCAACGTATTCTAAACATCTTTCTGTGCATAGACTATTTTACATAAACAAGGCTCTGTAACATACTTTTTTATTCAATAATATATTAGAATATATTTCCTTGTGGCGAAATGTAGAGCTACTTTATCATTTTTAAAAGGCAGCATAGTAGCCCATTGTATATATGTATCGTAATATACTGATCCATTCCCCTTGATGTAGACTTTACTATTATGATTTTTTTTTTTGGTAGATAAATACATTGATACTTATGACTATATCGCTTTAGGGTAAATTCTTAGGAGTAAATTTCTAGGCTAAAGGATATGAATATCAGATAATTTGAGAAACAAATTGCCTCCTAGAATCTTACTTTTTTATCCCACTTCTAACCTCTAATATGTTAATCACATACTTGGTTACATGAAGAGATAGGTCAGACAGTGATCACCTGGCTTATTCCAAGATACCTCCTGAGATTCTCTGTGGGGTTTTCATAATCCAGAAGCATGCTGGCTTTGCAAATTTCAATACTAGACCCTCTTCACTTTATCTGTCATGATGCTGTTTCTTGAGGCTTGATTATTACACTATCTACAAACTGCCAAATTATTTATTAAAAATGGGGGCTGGTCCAGGTCACAGCCATAGAGTGGTGGTGCCCTTACCTTTGGTTGCTTCAAGATTAACTGACAAGCAAATATTTATCATCTTTGTTTTTTTGAGACGGAGTCTTGCTGTGTCGCCCAGGCTAGAGTGAAGTGGTGTTATCTCGGCTCACTGCAACCTCTGCCTTCTGGGTTCCTG